GCACACACACACACATAGACATACACTCGCTCGCACGCACGCTCGCACGCACAAAGACACAGATACACTTACACTTACACATACACATAGGAACGCACTTTCAAACTGGCTCTCTGAACGAAATGTATTGGATCTAGTGTGGGGTTTTTGAGGGGTGGGGGGGGGGAGTTAAACGTAAGACGACCACTTTGCTGGGTGACTGTATTTGTAATTTTACTGCACTTCTCGTATTTGTTTCAGTTTCAACTTCGTCCAACGACAGCGGTACCAAGACTACTCAACTTTGTCCCTGCAGAAAGGTCTCCAGTAATTCTGGGAGGCCGAGTTCCAACTTGTCCAACTCTGCAATGAAATACAGATTGCTTCATTGCTGCGTGTTTTGCTTTAAACCTTTCTTGTTCAGTACAATCCGCCAGTCTCCAAACATTTCCATAAAAGTGCTTCTGAAGTTCGAACTCATGGTAACGAAAATGAAGAGATTAGTGGACGCGTTAACAAAGTCAAAAATAAACACAACTGTTATGACCACCATGAATAGATTATGATAACGCATTCGGAGGTAAAACTCTGGCTCAACGAATCTAGCAAAGTACTGGACAATTCGTGGGAACAGATTTACTATATATACCGTGATGACGACGATGAGCATTTTAATAACCTGTGAATCCCTCGCAGACATTTCACTTCCCTGGGAATTTAGATTTTTCTCTCTGAACTCTGAAGATTTCCGCAAGTGGTATGCGATGATAACAGTACTGACTACAATGACGATAAAGCTTAGTAAGGGCCAAAAGATACTCATAATGTTGTAGTACAGGAGTACGGATGCACCGTAACGCCGGTGGAAATCGCTGAAGGCCAACGTTGTCTTGCTTGTGTTACGGCCGTGGTCAAAGTTAACCCTGATTTCCCATAATGGGAACGCCACCATTAAAGAGCCAAGGACAATTGTAGAAATGACAACCATCATTACAACGGTAAATTTTCTAGTGAATATGTCCTTGACCTTAAAGGGCATGCTCACGCACAAACATCTCTCCGTAGACACGTAGGCTGCCAGAGCACAAGACACGAAGCCCACGAAACTGTGTAAGTAGCTCAGTAAAATTGAAGTCACATCTGCCCACATCTGCCCTAAGGTTGGATCCTCTAGCCCCATGACCCAGTATAACCGGCCAATGAGACAGCAGACACACTTTAGAAAGTCCCAAACGGCTATAGCAGTCATAGAGATGGAGATATTGTCTTTGAAACCTTGTTTGGCAAATACGGCGATGACGAGAGCGTTAGTGGTGACACCCAGTGCTGAGAGGATGGAGCAGACCCAGACGCTCATGATCACCTTGACCCAATCGCTGACTTCCTGGCTGACGATTGTGATCAGTACCATGTCGGACCGTGACGTCATAGTGGCCAGCTGGGGGGAGGAAACCGTAGTTGTCCACATCGTCATGGTGGCTCTGTAAAGGACGCATATAGGTCAAAGTCTTTGTTTGTTTTTGTAAGTGTTTTTGTGAACTTTGCCCGGGTGGCGGCCGGAGCCTAGATCTACTCTTATTGATTTTAAACCACAAAGGGACCTTTAACGTGCACAACTTGCACACGGGACCTCCGAGATTTTTCGAACTTGTCCGAGAAGGCTAGGTGTAGATCTTTCCGACCAGAAGACCAATGATGTGGCTGAAAGACAGCAGTAAGAAGGAGCCAAGGAGAAACAGTAGAAAGGCTGAAGAAAGAATGGGGAGCCCAGAGGAGGGGGCAAAGGAGGTGAGGGAGTGGGGGCAGAAAGTGGAGACGACAGCAGACGACAGAACATTGTTAGAGAGCACGAAAAAAGGTGAAAAGAGACAATTTTAGAGAAGAAAAATTTTCCGTCGCTACCCGGGTTCGAACCCAGGACCTTTGAATGAGAGGCGAACTCCTTAATCTCTATACCACGAGAGCCCCCGGTCAAAGTCTTACTACAAGTTTTTGCACATCATACACAGCATTATAATTACGAGGGCTGTCTAAAAAGTACAATGGAAATGATGATAGCTTTAAAACATGCATTGGTCATTTAAGAATATGTTAACGGTTTGCAAAAGGCAACTGACACTACATGTCTTCGCCAAAGAGCCAGTTGCACCACTAAACGTGTTAATTAAGATTACGACTCAACATAAAAAACAGACGACCCTCACAGAAGAATGGTCAAATGTACAAGAGCGTGGAGCTATGTATACGATTTTGATATGCAAAAGAAAAGAATCCTACGGAAGGTTTAAACGTATCTGTTGCAATGCATTTTGAAATGTAATGAGTAATATACATATACATGACTGGTACGGTTTAGTCAGTGCGAGAGGGACGGAGCTGGAAGATGAGCAAGTCTGTCATGTTTTTCTAATAGGGACATTATGCTTATTGAACGCATGTTTGAGAACCATTAGTGCAATAAAATGTGCTTACTATAAAAATAATTTCTTGTAGCAAGTTTTGCAAATAAAAATTGCCATTGGTGAGCTGTGACGTAGGCCATATGCGTAATCAAAATGTGTGTGAGAAGTACTGTGAACAATACGATTTTTCGTATTGCAGAGATTTCAAGTATTTTAAAATAAATTTTTGAAGAAAAGTTTTTAACCTTACCCCAATTGTTCTGGAAAAAATATGATTTAGTTAAGACAAATTGATACAAACTGCTGTGCAAAGTATGGATAACATTGATTCACCCGTTAAAGAGTTATTTGAGGATAAGTTGCGTCACGAATTTTTGACCACACTATAGACGTCTGAGCGAGAACAAAATCTACTCCAACACAGCAACGATTTTCTTCACTTGTCAAATCTAACAAAAGACTTGATCCTAATGCATGGCTGGGAGGCATAGCTGCATTCTCCAGATATTCCTTCCCATACATAACAAAATCATGAATCTTTTAGGGCCCCTTTGGAGACTTTTAGCAGGAAATAGGTTCACCGAAGATCGCGATCATATTAAAGCAGTCGTCTAAGATTAGATGCGTAAAAACAACAACCCATTTTCAGCTATGTCCCCATTTTTTGTAGCATGATGCACTAGTCCGCATTAGGCCTACCACTAAAATCCCAATGATTGCGTCATATTGCAAACTATAGTAGTCTAACAGGCCACCAGAAGTTTGCTGATAGTTTTTCTCAAGTTTCCTTTGCCTGCTGAGATCATGGTTAAAATAAGTAAAGGGCAGAGAGCTTTTTATATTGAACATTTCCTCACCACCAACTATATTCGTAAGTTTCGAATAAGGTACGGAAATGATGATATAGTGCCCTTAAGGCCTTCTTTGATGTCAATGGTCGATCAGTTAGTACCTGTAGAGAATCCGAAATAAAAATTCCTAGACAAAATGACAACTTCGGGTCAAACACACACCGTTCACACTCCTTTAAACGTCACCAGGGAGCAGAATTCTGTAGATGAGTCCCATGAGACGTCTGTCCGTAGACGATATCTGCAGCAATGACTTCCTTACACCTCAACTGTCGGCATTCTCAAGGCAGATCTTCATCTACGACTGTACAATTCTCCTGTTTGCTAAGCAATCAGAGAATAGCAATGTGTTCATTATTCCTTGATCGTCTTGAAAAGCGTGAATATTTCCTCTATGACATTTGGTTCCTTGGCAAAGCCCATATTTACCTTTCAGGTTGTATCAACTCCACAGATGCTGTCATTTGGCCAACCTCACCCTACCTCCTATTGCCTCCAAGAAGCGACGCCATACTGGTAGTAGGCTACAGTGTGTGTGGCTTTGAATACTCATGGTGGAGTGGATCTTTTGTGTTTTGCAACCACTGAGCATTACGAACAAATGTGTCGTGTCCAAATATAGACCATTGGTTCTCGGAATTCCAAATTGCAAAAATATTTCTTTAACTCTGTAAGAAAAAAGAAATATTGCTTAAATGTTACAGGGATGGAAAGATTAGATTTTTTTTTTAAAGGAAAGGAGAAAACAAACCAATCATTTCATGACTTTCCTTACAAGATCTTTTAAATTGGTGCGTTTTGTATGTATAGGTGGTTTTTATAAAAAGCCACTTCCGTTTTCGAAAACAAATTTCTTCTTTGTGGATTTTATATCAAACAAATTCCTTTTTGGATGAATTATATAATATCTATTCCGAATTACAACATTCTAGAACAGATTTTGCGAGAGATGTTTAGAAAAAAAGTTGTACTTATTTTTACCCTGTAAGATAAGAACGAGGGGCACTTATTAATAACAGTTCTCCCCAACAGGGCACTGTGCTGAGAGGGAAACATTTTTAAACGCTTTTATAAAATTTAAAACTTTCCAATTGGATAGGTAATCCCAACTTCCCAATCTCCGATATTTTCGAAAGCATCTCTCCATCATTGCAATAGACATAAATGGGCACGACATTAAAACACCGGAGAAGAACTGAATACTGGCGATCAAACAAAAAAATACGACTTTTAAATTGTTTATTAAAAAAAAGACTTCTGAGCCTTTACGCTTTTCCTTTCACACGAGAAATACTAAACAGTCGAAAAAGTAGGTTATGTTATGAAAATAACATTTTGGTGCTCAGTTCACGGCACAAACATTAAAAACGAGAAATTTGTTTTTTTTCCCGACCGCATGGCAGATTTCTTCTATTCTTAAGAATTATATATATATATATATAATAAAGTTGAGGTGTTTTAAATGTTTTTTTAAATTGACCATTGTCCCTTTTGAGTGCATCACTGGTGCCTTTTAGAGGCATGTTTTATAACGCCTACTGGCTCCTCTTATCACTCTGTTCCGTAATCATTAACTTGAACGTATGGTTGAATTTACCTCAGTGTGTTTAGATACGGTATTCTATTATGCTTTATTTTACTACGGGTTGAGAAAACTTAGAAGAAATTTATTGTGAAAAAAAATCCCACAGCATTCGAATTAAATGCTACGCTTCGAATGGCTATGCATAGCGCAATGATATCGAATGGACACAGCTCTAATCATCACTCAAGAACGAAGGTTTAACTCAACATCAGGTCTATCTGGCCAGCGGCATGGACATTGAATATCCTGGGAACTGCAGAAACGCGCTGAGCTTAGCATTGGTTTGCTTTCTCTGATGTTGAGTTAATACTTTGCCGCCTCCTCTCGCCGATTGGCGATGTTTACCACCCAGTTTCTTTGGATTTTCCCCCAAAATATGATGGCAAAGTTTAAACCAAGCCAACCATATTTCTTGCATGACAGTGATCAAATGTTATTGCGAGGTTGTTGGGTTTTTTTTTATGAGAAAAGACCTAAACTTCGGGGTTTTTTTAAAACAAAAACAACAATAAACAAAAACAAAAACAACAATAAACAAAAACAAAAACAACAAAGAATAGAAAAAAGCCCTCCACGTATTCAGGAAAAATGCCAATTTTTTATACTTTGATGTTGGTTCTGCGAACACTAATTGAAGCATCAAAATATTATCTTTATAACATCACCTACTTTTTAGACTACCCAGTAGTATTCTTTTGTATTTTGCAACCACTGAGCATTACGAACAACGCGTTAAATAAATGTGTCGAGTCCAAAGGAGGACATAATATAGACTATTGGTTCTCGGAATTCCAAATTACAAATATATTTCTTTAACTCTGTAGGAAAAAAGAAATATTGCTTAAATGTTACAGGGATGGAAAGATTAGATTTTATAAATAAAAGGAAAGGAGAAAACAAACCTTTAACAAGGAAAAGCGTTAAGACTCAAAAGACTTGATTTTTTTACACGATCAAAAATACGATACTTTTCTTTCGATCGCCAGAATGTTCATTCAGTGCGCAGCGAAAAACGAATACTATTATAACACAAACTAAAATTAAGAAAAGACTGCGTTCACTGGAGACAGGCAGGAGCCAACTGGATTCTCAGTAATCTCACTCTCTGGCATGCATCGTGATAAAGGCCTATTTCATGAACAGTTGTCCGACCCTGATCTCGTTTTTCCCCAATCCTTGGGAACGAACATACTGACAGTTACAGCTACTATAAAGATAATAAGTATGTAAAGTTTGGTACCTGGTAATTCACGCGTCTAATGTATCAAATTGCCATATTAAGTCGTTACGTTTGAAATGTTCGCGTGCCAGATTGACAAGGAATGACTTGATGATACAGTAATGCTCTCACCACACTTATTGATGTCACATGCAAATAACCAGACACGCCAACTAAACCCGCTTAACTGATGCACACAAACAGTGAAATGGATGAAGACTATTTCAGATAATTTGAGGTCTTTTTCAGTTTTTCCTGACGCTCCTAATTGTGTGAGATGATCGACACTTAAGCCCCGGTTACACGCAACGATAAATTGTATCAGATTCGCCGTATGCGAGAACTATAGGATTTATCGAGCTGTGTTGTATGTCTACACGTTCCAATCTACCGTCCAGTTTTCTTTCGATCAAGGAG